CTACAACCAGACAAGCAGCTTTCACTCAGTCAGACACGTAGGCGACCAGAGTTCTACCCCTTGTTGTCCTTGGCGCCGGTAAACATGTGTAAAAATGCGGGGTCTTCCACGTGTGTTGCTGCGGGCAGGCTCTTATTCGCTGTGTGGGTTTTTCGGTGGGACAGTGCCGCCATTAATCGTCTACGGAAATCAGAAAAGGAAAAAATCTGATTATCTCCTTTCATTTTAATCAAATTTTTAAAGCCTGTGGAAATCAAGAAAGAAAAATATCTAATTAACGCTTTGGATTTTAATTTATGTTGTTTTTTTTTTTTACTACAAACAAGATGACATTTTAAAATATAACATTTCCGTGGGGGTTACCTAGTACCTCGTAACTTGCACTAGCTCTATGTTCTAGCTACAACTATCTAACTGGAAAGCCAACTACTACCTAACCAGTGTATTAGAAAATCACTAGCCAAGTACTGAATACGAAAACCACTTTCGAATGATAATTTGGAAAACCATTTTTTAACAAATGAATTGAAAAACCACTTGCCAGCTATTGTTTTGGAAAACCACTTACCAACTACTCAATAGGAAAACCACTTTCCAACTACTGAATTGTAAAACCACTAGCTAACAACTTAACCGGTCAACCAGTAACCACCCTCCCAAAAAAAAATAACCACCCAAAACAAATTTACATAACCTCTAGCCTACCACCAAATCAGACATCCACTAATAGCCATCAGAACTGGACAACCCATCTCCAGCAACCCTTCAGCAACCCTTCAACCACCGCTCGCCATTCACCCATTCAAAACAAATACCACTAGAATCTAGAATACCACTAGAATACCACTAGAATACAACTAAAATACAACTAAAATACCACTAAAATACTACAAAATACCACTAAAATACCACAAAATACCACTAAAATACCACTAAAATACCACTAAAATACCACTAAAATACCACTAAAATACCACTAAAATACCACTAAAATACCACTAAAATACCACTAAAATACAACTAAAATACCACTACAATACGACTAAAATACCACTAAAATACAACTAAAATACAACTAAAATACAACTAAAATACAAATAAAATACCACTAAAATACCAATAAAATACCACTAAAATACCACGAAAATACCACCAAACCAGCCCAACAACCACGCACCCACGTATACATTTCATCGACAATCTTGCAACTTTTAATTGACACCGATTGAACGCCTTAAAAAAAGTAAATTAATCACGCACGGAATAAACACAACACAAACAAACACGTACACTAGCAACTTGACCCAAGTTTCTAAACAAAAGTTCTTGTAAACTTTGCCATGAAGTCGTATCAAGTCTATTGAATTATTAGTTTCACTACCGTAAACATTAACTCTGGTTCATTCACGAATGAGGGGTGGGGGTTACTTGGGGTGGTGGTGTGGGGGGGGGGGGGGCGGGCGGTGGTGGCTTATTTCCTACCACAACCCACCCACCCCCTCAGGAAATATTTTTTTGAGTGTTTTTCTATTGTTAGTATTTGTAAATCAACATTCTTTATAGCTATGGTGCTGATCTCGATTTATTTATGTTCAGCCCACTCCAACCCTCCCCTCCACCCCCCCCCCCCCCCACCTTAGAAAAGCTCAACGGCTAGATCAGTCTATTCCTCATCCTTTCTATATTTAACACCGACTCGACCCCTATAAATAGCCTTACAACTAATCCTAACAAAGAACGGTAACTCCGAATATTAGTAGAAAAATACGCTTGACAAAACTAAATATTTACTGACGGCGTTTATACAAATGGATTTTTTTGTTTCAAATTTTAAAATAAATAAATAAAAATAGCAACCATTTCATAGACACTAACATAACCATATCCCTGTAGTCTAGTGTTTAAGGCATGATAACTCTTCGCACAGATTTGGTTTTAGTACTAGAAGACTAATCGTTCGGAGCTAATCCTTAAAAAATCTTAAGGGATAATCCTTGAACTCACAAAAAGTTATTTCATAACACTCTCAATAGCTTACTGTAAACGTTTAGATATTCCATCAGCCGTTTCAACGACCGGAATTTGCCGGTTAACGTTGTAGCTACTGTAACTGGGTGTTGGATCTTCGAATAAAGAAGTCTGGCTGATGTATCCAGTGTTGTGTGGATTGTATCCACTGATCTGGCTGGAATATCCAGGGACCTGGCCGTTGTATCCAGGATGGTTGTTGTATCCAGGGCTGTGACCGGGTTGGCTGTTATAGTTTGGGTTGTGAACGGGTGGGCCGTTGTACGTAGAGTGGTGGTGTGATGGCGTATTGTAGACTAATCCAGTCGAATGTGTTTCTAGAAAGCACGAGAAAGTTTGGTCATTAATTTATTCAATTTTAGCATCATTATTTATTGAAGTAGTCATTTAAAATGTTAAGATTTAAAAAATTACCTAAAGATATAAGATCTATATAGAGTGAGCAAAATAAAAATGTCTCATTTTGGTTTCAATGGGAGGTAACCCGAATTAATTTACTAAATAAAAGTCTTAGTGTTAGTTATCTAGCATAAAACATATGATTTACCAGCCACAATTAAAGCTTTAAAATACAAAATATTAATATTTCCCAATGGTCATACCAATAGTAAGTGGAATTGAAAACAAAATTTATTTATTTGACAACCGAGTAACCAAAATCTATATCAAAATCTGAGTATTTTTTTGTATAAATACACAACTTTCCAGACCTCATTAATTATTTTGGAGTGTGATACGAATCTGTAGAAATGTTCATCATTGTGTTCCTGTAATGTGATCAGAATCATTCGTAAAATGAAACTTCTAAAAAACAATAAAGCAACTCCACTGTACATAGGACAACAATACCGTCCCTTATAAACAAAAAGCTTACAAAATCTCAAATGTTTTTTAAAAACCTAAGTGAAGTTAGACAGTATACTTAATATTATAAATATTACAAGCAGTCTGGATGTTAAAGTATAGGCTATATATATATATATATATATATATATATATATATATATATATATATATATATATATATATATATATATATATATATATATATGCCTATTAAGCTACGTTTTAGTAGTAAATTATTAGATACGAGCCGGCCCGCGGCATAACATACGCCGCTATTTAGTTATTGTTTTTTCTACTTTTCAGTAATTCATAATTTGTGAATTCGACAGTACCAACGCTGACACTGAAAATATTTTTTTAAAACACTATAAGTAGCTCGTTAAGGACCATAACCCAGAAGAGAATTATATATATAGATAGATGATGACACCCCCACCCTAGTCGTTGATTCCTTTGATTACCAGTAACTGGAACAGAGTGTCTTTCAAGCATCTATTCGAGGGGAAGGGGGTTGTGTTTTTGTTATTATTTATTTTAACATTTAAAATAGCAATAATAACTTATTTGGTAGTTTTTTTAAATTGTTTTTTTTTACATTTTTTTGGTAGTGTTCCACAGTTTGAAAGGCATGAGTATATTAAATATAATATTACCATGAAGTTCTTATTTAGGTTTTAAGTAGTAATAAGTTTAGGTTTTATCATTTTAAATAAAGTTAATTTCAAAATTAATTATCTAAACAAAGAAATATTATTTATAAATTAGCAATTGGAAATATTATTGTAATTTCTTTACTAATAAAATTGATTCATTAAAAAAAAAATAGGAATATCAGTAGTATAATATTTAATTTGAATTTGTAATGTTAGGTTATGGGCCCTGAGTTAAAACATGTATCTCGATAGCTAATACGGCTGGTGTTGACACTATGTAATAAGACTTCTAGTTGCTCTGTCCCACCCCTCCCCCTATTTAATTCAGTAAAGTGACTTTGGAGACATTGGCACTAAATTATAATTAATTATAATTAATTGCTCGTATCACCTACCCCACTGTTGATTACTGCCCAAAAAGCCGGAATCCGGGAAAAAACCGGCCTGGGTGTCGACATCCGGTGACCTCAGGAAGTAGTCAGCGTGAGCGGTCACAAGCCCGAACAAACAGGAGAAGATGGCGTTCAGCTGTAGATAACAGATTAGTTTGGTAAGGCCTGACTGTTGCTAGCATTTTTTTTTCATGATATGGTGTAGGGGAGGTAAGTAATAAAACACGGATTTGAAAAAAAATTACAACGGTTGTCTAACTTATATAGTTCTTTCAATATAAATAGGGGAGGTGAGTATAAAATTACCAATTCGTGAATATATACAAATATACAGCCTATATTTAATATTAATATTAATTAATATTACTTATATAAGACCGCTGAGGTATAGAGCGCTTTAAAAACATATTTAAAGCCGTAGAACAATTTTACAAAATTTATTTAGATTCTACTCAAGCTTTAGATAGGAGACACCATTTTTAGTGCCGTCAAAAAGAATGTAAAATTAATATATAACGTAAAAAGATAAATAGAAGAAATGAAATTTTAAAAAAAAGAGTAGATGCTTGCAAAAATTTGCATCTATATCTTAGAATTTGCTTCTGTTTTCCATGGACCTCTACAGAAAACATAACAACAGAGACGTATCGCAGATGCAAGATATCTGGACATACAAATAGCTATGATATCTCAAGTAGCAGTCACCAGTCTATGTATCTGTATAGTGCACATTGAGTCAAGTCAGCTGTAGTTGGTACCTGGCTGGGCATCGTGATGACTGCACAAACAGATCACACCGTTAGCTAAAACTCTCCATCAACAATCATTCCGTCTATGGACTATTTATTTAAATGTTAACGTAATCTATATGTTGATACTAGACATTGCGTTGTATTTAGAGATCGGGAGCATTGTAAAACCTTCGGACTCTTAGTGCTACGTTGGTTGTATATATATATATATATATATATATATATATATATATATATATATATATATATATATATATATATATATATATACATATATATGTGTGTGTGTGTGTATTTAAATATACGTGTGTATATCTGTGTGTGAGTATGCGTGTGTATGTGTGTGCATATGTATGTGTATATGTGCGCGCGAGTACGTGTGTGTGTGCGTGTGTGTGTGCCTTTGACTATTCAACACGGACAGGCAAAAATGAATTATATGCCCTTTTCTATTTCTAAGCTACCTTAAATTATTCACGAGCTTGAAGCGTTTATCCTTTTTTTTTATACAGGCCAAGAGCTATCAACTGCGATGAATAAAGCACAACTTTAGAAAAAATAAAAACTCAAGGGAAATTTTGTAAGACTGACACGTGACGCTGATATTTGTTTTACAAATCTTGGGCGTCATTTGATTTATGTCACAGCATCCTACTCCTCCCACATACATTATAAAAAACTTATGATTAATATTGTTATAACAACGTGTAGATTATTGCACCAGGTCTGAAACTTAGCAATCTTATATGTATATATATATATATATACGAGCCGGCCCGCGGCATAACATACGCCGCTATTTAGTTGTTTCTAATTTTCAATAATTCATAATTTGTGAATTCGACAGTACCAACGCTGACACTGAAAATATTTCTTTAAAACACTATAAGTAGCTCGTTAAGGACCATAACCCCCCCCCTTCCTTCCCCCCCCCCCCTCCCCCCCCCCCCCCCCCCTACGTTTAAAATCGTTGGCTCTGCTTGTAAACATTTAGAGTGAACACAGCTCACTAAAACCATGTAGGGGTGGGGAGGTAGGGAGAGCGTTTGCAGCTTGTTTTCTAACGGCTCGAAGAGGAGAATTATATATATATATATATATATATATATATATATATATATATATGTATGTATATATATATATATATATATATATATATATATATATATATATATATATATATATATATATATTCATTTTTAACCCTTCGAATCTGTGAAATGTTGAAGAAATTTAGCAAAGCCTCCATGGTAATTTGCATATATTGAAGTTGTCAGTGCTTGCAGCCTTATAATAATGTAGAATGCTTTAGTTTTTAAAAACAGCTAATTGAATGAATTCTTTAAATGAATTCTTTTACTTTTAGGCCTAGCCTATGGATGTTGAAAGATTATTAAAAGGGGACGTGAAAGATGCGGAAAGGAAAACTGCGCAACTGAAAACTGCGCACTAAAAAGTGCGCAAGGGATTTTTATTTTCTTAAATCGAGCGTTTATAGATACTGGCAAATAATGACCACATGTAGCATAACAAAATACTAATACACAAATACACTTTAATTTTTACAAAATTTAAGTTTATTAGCGTAATTAGTTTGTTTTTGCGCTTTTTTTTCTGTTTGCGCAATTTTTCGTTTACGCATATTTCTGGAAACCGATTAAATGTATGTATAGAGTTTCTATTTCATCTTCAATGACAATAATTACACTATCGACCAGTTAACAAAACCTAAGTGTCCACTAGCCTAAGCTTTGACGTTGACACATTCTAGACAAAACAATCCCGCTTTAAAACGAGGCTGTTTTTCATCTCAGCCAGAACAAAGTAAACATAACTCTTTACAATCCCAGCACGTAGTACTCGATAATCCCCATAATCATGGCGTTAGACATTTATGACAAAAATATGACATTTAGAGTTTGTCGAGATTTTACTTTTGTCAAGAATAACATTGCAGCGCAAGAAACAAATAAATTAGACGCTAAAAACGTTGTATTTACAACTTCCTTAAAATGCAAGTTTGAAATTTTTTTTAAAAAGCATTTTGTAAAAGAAGCTAAAAGAGATGGATAGGTATTTGAACACGCCATATATGGACACAAAATACGCCTAAATAGTGTGTCGACCCGTAAGGGGTGGGCTAAACTATGAATCTCCCTCTTGACATACAATAAAATTGTGTTTCTTACTATTTTATGATCGGCGTAGTCGTGGGGGGGGGGGGAGATTAGTTGGTTTATATATTTTTGGTCACCAATCATATTTTTGAAGACAATTACCAAACGATATTTAAAAAAATCTAATAGACAAAAGTTAGTTTAAGATAGTCTGTAATGTAATCCGCCAGGTAGTTATTCATTTCTTTCTTCCGTCTTTACTCTAGAACAGGGGTCTCCAAACTACGGCCCGCGGGCCGAATGCGGCCCGCGGCGATCTTTTTGTCCAAGGAAAAACCGTTTGTTGGTGATGGCTGAGGAACTTTGCCCAGAAAAATCAAAACCATACCTGGAAGAAACTGGCGCCGAACTGAAATTTGATAGTTAATGCGGCCCTCGGACTGAAAAGTGTGGAGACCCCTGCTCTAAAACTTAGGCGCGAGTGTATGTGTGAGTTGAGTTAACCCCGGGTTGTGTATGTATTGTTATCCCAAAGTTGAATGCTGGAATAAAAGCGGAGAGAACGACTGTTAGGGGAATTATGGTAGCGACTAGCATAAAGTATATACGTTGATTGATGGAGACACCTCCATAAACCTGTTAGAGCTGTGTGGCCTTTGTTGAGTTGGATGAGACTCAACAACTGGTAGCCAGTGTGACATATGAGAACTGACATTTTATGACATATGCAGAACTTTTATTATATGGTATATGCAGAGCTGTCATTGTATGAAACTGAAGTGTCATCATTGTGACACAGAACTGTCATTTGATGACATAGAACTGTCATCTTGTGACATTGTATGACACAACTGTCATTGAGTGACACAGAACTCTCATCATTGTGACACAGAACTGACATCGTATAACACATAGCTGTCATTGTATAACACAACTGTCATAGTTGTGACACCGAACTGTCATCATTGTGACTCTGAACCGCCATCGTCTTCGTCCATTGACTTTCTCCATCAAGCAACATTACTTAATAGAGGAATTTAGAGGGTAGCTTCATAAGGCAGAGCTACAGCAACATAATTGGTGAACAAAACATTGTTTTGCGGATAATTAGGTCATCTATTTTTAGTTCAATTTTGACATTTCCGTCTAAAGTTTCTTAACTTATGAATTATTCGAAAAACTTCAAGGCGTTGGCAATAGGCTGAAGGTGAGGAATTTGTGTGTTTTTTTTTCTCTAAAAGGTAGACTTTCTCCTGAGATATTCATGCAGTCATACTCTCGCCATTATATCTAACAAAACATATTGACTTTCCTAAACGATAACAGGAATTAGACAAACTTAATATTTTTTGGTGGGCTGCCAACTAAACTGAATTTGAATATAATTTATAATGAATGTAGACAGCTATTTAGCGAATGCTATTAAGGTGAACGCAAATATGACGTAATGAAACTTAAAACGCCATAATTAAAATTTGATTGATTACAATAAAATTATTTTCTTTGTAAAATTTGATTTAAAAGCGAAAAGGACCAAAACAAACGACTTACGACACTATATTTCAATACAATTTTCGCTTTTTCTATTTATTGTTTTTCTGGAGAATCGGAAATAGGATTTGATTATTTTAAACAAATACGGAAAGCTCTATTTTAAAATACGACTGGACTATTTCTAATTTCTATTTAGGACTATTCAAAAACACGTTGGGATTTTTCTAAAACACGTCTGAAATATTCTATAATATGTAAGGACTACTCTAAAACATGTTAGGACTATTCTAAAACACGGATAGACTATCCTAAAAAAAGTTGAGACTATTCTAAAATATGTGGAGGTTTGTTCTAAGAAACGTTGAAATTATTCTAAAAAACGTTGTGATTAATCTAAAACATGTTGGGACTATTCTAAAACACTTGTCAACTATTTTAAAACACTTCTCGACTATTTTAAAACACTTCTCAATTATTCTAAAACACTTTAGGATTATTCTAAATCACGGAGGGACTAATCTACAACACGTTTAAACTATTCGAAAACACAATGGGGCTAATTATTTCTAAAACACGTTAGGACTATTCTGAAATACGCTGGGACTATTCTAAAACACATTAGGAATATTTTAAAACACGTTAGGACTATTCTGAAACACGTCTCAACTATTATAAAACATGTTAGGATTATTCTAAAACACAGACTATTTTAAAACATGTTTGGGCTTTTCTAAAACACGGAGGGACTTTTCTAAAATACGTCTAAATTATTCTAAAACACGTTAGGACTATTCAAAAACACGTTGAAAATATTCAAAAAACACGTAGAGACTATTCTAAAACACGTTAGGACTATTCTAAAACACGCCGACACGACAGAACCAAAAACTTACCCTAAGATTAAACATGGCGAGTTTGTCCCTAAAATCCTCCTACTTGTGTCCCCTTCTTTGTTGACGTATTTTTTAAAAACCCTCTTTTGTGACAAATGGGATCACTCGCTCTACTGCCGTCAAACGCTTCATTCTGTCAGGGGCGGCGGCGTCGTCTGCTGACACACGCCAGGTTCTGGGTCAAGGGTCACAGTGATTAATTTAGGGACCTGTACACTTGAGCTGATCCTAGGGGTTGGTTCAATCCCTAACATGCTAAACATAACAACAAAGGATTATGTCTTGTCTATAAATGACGTCATGTTCCTTTGCGTCTATTTTTAGCTCAACATCTCCTGTAGTATCGCCGGGTCAAAGATTGACCTTTTCCGACACTTACACGGATTACCATAATTATAAGCAAAATTTTCGTTACACATTGCTATGTACAATATTGACAAAACGACTATTCGAAAGCCTTAATTAAATTAAAGCATTACTTAAAAATTAAAACACTAATAGTCTAGGCTTATTACAGCGCCGATCCCGAGGCCAACCGGGATTTTTTCTTGACGCCTTATTGTGATTTTTCTTGACGCCCCACCGTGATTTTTCTTGACGCCCCAATTTGATTTTTCTTGACGCCCCATTGCGATTTTTCTTGACGCCCGTTGTTATTTTTCTTGACGCCCATTGGCATTTTTCTTGACGCCCTATTAGGATTTTTCTTGACACCCTATTGGGACTTTTTTGACGCCCCATTGGGATTTTTCTTGACGCCCTATTAGGATTTTTCTTGACGCCCTATTGGGATTTTTCTTGACGCCCTATTGGGATTTTTCTTGACGCCCCATTGGGATTTTTCTTGACGCCCCATTGGGATTTTTCTTGACGCCCTATTGGGATTTTTCTTGACGCCCTATTGGGATTTCTTTCACGGCCCATCGGAATTTTTTCCTTAACTACAGAGGTGTCCTTGCATTTTGTATAGTGTGTATGCGTTCACTAAACATTACCTTGAGTTCTGTGGTGCTGTATAGATCGTATGAATCGTAAGTAGAGTACAATTTCAGACTCCACTTATGATTTATACCAATTCAGACTCACTGTTGAAATTCGCAGACGACATTTTTTTAAAGACCACAGCATGGAAAAAATTCAGTTGTCTAAATTAGAGCCAACAGCCTTTAGTTTTTTTAAATTATTTCATTCAAGTACCATCAGATTTCGGTGGATTTATTGAAGTCATACGGACCGTGACGTCATTTATGAATTACCCCTTAAACCGTTACTAAATCCTAATAGTATTATAGACTTTATAACTTATCTAGCCTAAAACTGATCCTAAAATTAGCCCTAAACAAAATCTCTTGCTTCTAAGCTTAACTCTTAATGTAAACCCGATTCTAATATAATGATTGGTAATACAAAATGTATCACCACTTATACTGTAATTACTGTTATTTTTATATTATACTCCAGTACTACAGTACCGTGTACACCGTGGCTAAGTATACGACTCCGTCACATCAGAACAGTGTGCACATGCCCTTAGAGCTAGGATGATTTCATCCAGTTATGACAAACTTTTTCCTTATCGCATTGTTTTTTCAGGTGAACGCCACGATGTGTGCGGGGTGTGTGTGTACTGTTGTGTGTGGTGCAGGTGTGGAGGAATCTCACTGTCGCCCGAAGTGCGGGAATGTCACGTGGGACAAAATTGATGACCAAAAAATGGAGAGTTCGTTGGTTTTAGGACAGGTAGAGTTACCAAGCGCCGCCTGGCGGTGGAGGATACGGCTCTACACGATGCATGTCTAGCTGGCAAACGGTTGAAATCACTGGCTGCTTGATGTGCATGCACTATATATATATATATATATATATATATATATATATATATATATATATATATATATATATATATATATATATATATATATATATATATATATATATCAAATTCTCTTCATGGAGACCATAGAAAACACCAAGCTGTAAGCGCGACTAGCAGCCCCCTCTCTTCCTCTCTAGGCATATCCCTACCACCCCCACCCCCACATGGTCTGGTGAGCTGCGGTTCACGCTAAATGTTTACAATCGTAGAGCCGGGTCTAGTGACGATTATTAGGGGCAGATAATTTAGTTTGAAACGATTTTAAACTTAGGGGAGGTAACTAAGAGGAGGCTGCTTTCACGGGGGGGGGGGGAGGGGGGTGTAGGGTAGGGTTTGGGGGAAACGAGGGGGGGGGGGGTGTCCTTAACGACCTACTGATAGTGTTTTAAAGCAAATATTTTCAGTGGCAGCATTGGTACTATCGAATTCACAAATTATGAATTACTGAAAAGTAGAAAATAAAACAACTAAATAGCGGGTCGGCTCGTTTATATATATTTCATGCAGCAGTGTCACTAGGTTGGGGTCGGGAATCACGCTGTGCGGTAACTCAGGGTGCCCCCCCCCCCTTCCACCCACCTTCTCCAACATTTTTGCATTTTCGGTTCTTAAGATTAGCGTTGGTTATTACGGTGTGGAGAATACCTTATTTGGATTGTTATGGATGTTGACCACCAATTAATTATTCTTTGTTCTAATAATTACTGTTGGCGATTTTGGCTTAGCTAATACCTTTTATGTATTATCACAGATCTTAATTAGCAATCTGATGACTACATTCAGTTGATTATTATAAACTATAGCAACTATCTACAGACAAGTAAGAAACACTAATTTTTAACTTATTTTATTTTGTTTCAAATGTCAGATCCACAAATAGAAAATAATTAATTGTACAGGAATAATTATATACATTCAACACACAATATCACGATAACTTAAAATAAAACTTGGTAGTAACAGAATGAAAACATGGTTTATATACATCTTGTACAGTCGTGAAATAAACGTGTTATAATTAAATTATGTTTATAGATTATATAAAAGCAATAGTCAACAAATACAGGTATGACAGTGATGTTTTGTGACCAACGAAATGGGTACTGTTGGTATAAGAGTACTCTAAAAGTATTTACATTATTCACGAAATGTTGCTCTATGGAAATCTATCACTCTGAAAACGAACATACAGATACGATTTACATATTCTCATAGTTTTACGTAACCTTTACTACAAACGCTAGATCTAAAACAGTGTTGAAGTTTAGACCAACAGCACCTCAGCATATTCACAGGTTTTACTGTCTTGTAATTGAGTCAAATAATATTAACATTTTAAAATAGAATAGACAAAGTATTCTGAACAGTGCACGTATCGGTACGAAAAAGTACATTCATATTTCAGCTTTCAAAAGACTGTAGCACTAAAAAAATGTAAAAATAAAAATATAATTAGCAAGACGCGATAAGTTACAGCAGTAAGGTTTTGTAGAATCCACTTACTCGGGTGGCCAAAAAGAGACGAATGGTAATTAACTTTACCACCAGCCAAATTTAACTAAAACACATCTTCGTAAAAAAAAAAATAGAAATATCAATGCCATGTGTTGTTTTTTTTTTCTATTTTCTTTCAATAATTTCCTTCTGGCTTTATTCGTTGTTTATTTATTCGTTTTTAATTTTACAAATATTATTTTTACAAAAGGTGACTTTATTTAATGGAAAATAAGAATATTAAAACAGCGACTCGCTTTTAAATACAGGCAGGCTTGTTAATGATAAAAACTTTATATGCAGCAGATGACTCTCTTTTTCAAGGCATTTCAATGGTTTTATAAATAAGTTCATCTTCTGGTTTTCTATTACCCGCAGCCTGAAATACAAAAAGTAACAATTTTTTTACAAATTCATGAAAGTTTAAAATTAATTTTCTATTTGGTTTTCATCTCTCTGGGTTTACGATCAACACCCCCACCCCCGGACGAAATAGTAAAAAAGAAAGAAAGAAATGTTTTAAATATAGTCCACCCCTTTAGATATTTCTATAAGCCCCCCTCTCCCCCTCTCCCCCACCAAACACCCAATTTCCGCGCATAAAATTTCTTAAAGAAACCATTATTTCTGCAATTTCAGTAGGTCGTTCTTTTGTTTCATAACTTTCCAGAAACCCCTGCTTATATGAAGGCGAACGTGGCGAACTTACAAATGGCGTATTTCTCCTCCATGATTGAGATCTGTTGACTGATGGAGTCCATGCGGTCGGGCGACGTCGTGTCGTAGTAGGAGTAGGTTGCCGTCGTGTCGTCCCGTAGTGGCGGCTGGGAGTAGTGCACGGCGCTCACCACAGACTCGAAGCTGCTCATCACAGACGTCAGGTTGCGGCTTAGGACCAACTATAAATAGATATATGGGAATATCAAATATAAATAGTCATGCTGGAAGACTATTAATAGAAATATTGGAAGACGATCTATAAATAGATATATTGAAGAACATCTATAACTAGACCTACGAGAAGACCATCTATATATTAAGATATATGGGGTACAGTGGCGTAGGCAGGGTGGTAGGGGGGGTCATAACCCCCCATAGACCCCTCGGTATATAAAAAAAAGTATGAGGGGGGGTTCAAATCGAAAGTTTGACGGGGGGGGTGCAAATGGAAAGTTTGTCCCCGGGCAAAAATTGGAACCCCACTTGAGACGATCCTGGCTACGCCACTGATGGGGGAAAATATCTATAAATAGATATACGGTATAGTAGACATGTTGGAACAACATCTATAGATATATATTTAAGATCATCTGTAAATAGACATTTAAAAGGTCATCTATAAATAGACATACGGGAAGACCATCTACAAATAGATATATAGGAAAACCATCTATAAATAGACTTGTTGGAAAACCATCTATAAATAGACATGATGGGAGACCATCCTCAAATATACACGGAAGACGATCTAAATTAGAAGATCCAATGATATAGTTTTTACAACATACATCTGCATGGCATTTTAGTGTTCCACTCTAAAGAGACACCAAGAAAGAAAAATAGAATATGTATTTAAACTCTTGAACTTCTTCTTCTTCTTCGTTCTTAAATTTTAGTGTTGGAAGGGGCCGAGCCTTTTATGCCAGAGGGTTTGAACTCGAGACTTTTTCGAATTTATCAACCATGAGCTTTTTTGCCGACTCGACCACGCCTCCGTTACAATTAAGGATACGTGTCAACTGGTTATGCGCCATTGAGGCCATTGACTCCACTTTCAGCCTGCTTTTCTTTTTGGATTTGCTTCCATAGCCTTTGTCCAACCAAGAACAAACTACAAGGCAGCAGTTGTTTGATTTTGGAGTTTTCTCTCCTAGAAGAGTGGCTGTCCCCAGCTAACGAGCCTCATCTGCCCGAGGGTTCGAACTTTTCGGATTAGCAACCATGAGCTTTACCGACTCGACCACGCCGACCCCTAACTTTTGAACAAAAAGGAAGACTTTTTAAATATATAAATCTTCTTACTTTTTCTTCTTCAAGTTGCATCACCCGCTGCGTCATAGCATCCAGCTGTTTCTGCAGACCGGACAAAGCCGCCATCTTTATTTTCATCTCCTCTAATTCCACCAGCTGTTTCTTCATCTCCTTAATACTCTCCACATCCGGCGCCATCTTCTTCAAACTTTCCACCATGGCCTTGACCTGTCTCAGCTCTTCCGCGCTCGCCTTGACGTTATGAAGATCCTCCAGCTGCTTCTTCACTTCCTGTTTAGAGAGCTTCTCATTCATTTTCTCTTGTATATCCCGAACATCATTTCTAATCTGACGGATCGAATCTGTATCGTTCTTCATCTCAAGAAGTAAATCAACCTTCGCCATTTTAGAATGAAGGCTCTCCAACCCAGGTTTCAATTCTTGAAGTTTCTCCACCTTCGTCTGCAGAATTTGAATCTCCCCAACATGCTTGGTGACGTTCTGCAACTCCATCACCTGCTTCTGCAGACGCGAGACAACATCGCTCTCGTTTTTCTCGTGATCTTTCAGGGTCTGAACCTCCTTACGGACAGCCCGCAGGTCTGTGAGCTCCTGCTTGACATCCACCAGGCTGTTGATCTGCGTCTTCATGCCCTCGATGCCAGCCAGCTTCTGCTCCAGCTTCTGCTCCAGCAGGTCAAAGTTCACCGTCTGGTTCCTCAGGGCCTGCAGCTCGGCCATCCCTTTCTTCACCTCCATGATGGTGTCGATGTGGAACGACATCTCCTGGAACTCTTCCGTACACGTCAGGCATACTGAAACGTAAACACACAAGATTTTAACAACACTCATCACTTCATTTATTTCCATGACCTCGGCATATGAAAGAGTTGTGTGGTCAGCACTATGCTCAGCCGCCTTTACTTTCCATAACGTCAGTCAAATACCCATCAGAGCTGGGTGGGCTCAGGGACGCTCTACGGATTCAGTTTCAAAACTTTCGGAGTAACAGTAGTTTAATAGTTTAATCTACCATTCGAACTTATCGTCCCACTATATATATATATATATATATATATATATATATATATATATATATATATATATATATATATATATATATATACTGTCACCCTCAGGACTGGATTAAATTTTTCACATAATAATATTTTAATTTTACCATGGATGGGATGGGAGAGGAGAAATTAACTCCATCCCCCCCCCCCCCCACATGCCTTACCTACGCGCATTCAACTGTACATGTTACATTAGCATAATGTTATTAAGCTTACTGCATATCTCAAAGTTAATCAAGCATAACTTTAGCCTCGCTAAACCTCTTTAAGAAATCTGCCACACACACAAAAAAGTCATCTACTTGTAAAGAAATTTAGCGAAATTTTTTTTTTCAAACTTATAAAGAAGCTGAATATTCGGTAAAAGTAAAATCGTATTCGAATTTGCACAGTATCGATGATTTTCGTACTATATTTTACTCAATAAACGCCAAATCGTTGACATTTAAAGGGGCAGTTAAAAATAATAATCCAGATTTAATCATACACTTTCCTCATTCCTTGAGATCACGGCTATAAAATTTAATCTCTTTCCTTATTACCAAATTAAATTAACCCTGAATTCTCTGGGTTTACCGTCACCACAACACCATCATTAACCGAATCAACAACTTCCGTTTCCGTGTTTAAAAATAAAACTCGCCTCTCCGTGCCGAGAAGGTGACGTAGGAGGAGGAGCTGACCTTGACCTCTCATTTTTTGACATTAATTTTCTACAGGATCGTGTAGGCCTATACTTTATCCTTACCAGATTTTTTTTTTAAAACAATGTTTTTCGTTTCAGATTTGTCCAGATTTAGCTTTTGTGACACGTGACGCAATACAACTTTCCCGGATTTTTTAAAACTTGTGACAAGCCACAAGATAAAAGCCCCCGTCTTGATAGAGTTGTAAAAAGTCGACAATTTCGTGGAAAGTTCGTCGTCTGATGGTGGTTGTGGTGTTATTTTTGTTGGTGATTGTGGTGGTGGTTGTGATGGTGGTTGTGATGGTGGTTGCGATGGTGGTTGCGATGGTGGTTGTGATGGTGGTTGTGATGGTGGTTGTGATGGTGGTTGTGATGGTGGTTGTGATGGTGGTTGTGTTGATGGTTGTGTTGGTGAATGTTATGGTGGTTGTGATGGTGGTTGTGATGGTGGTTGTGATGTTGGTTGTGATGTTGGTTGCGATGGTGGGAGTGTGTTCGTGCAACTACAGATATCATGTTCATTATTTCTGTAAAAACTAACCTACATCTAAACCGTAAACCTAACCTTAAATGTAATCATCTCCCTAATAGTAAATTAAACTCTAATTCTAGCGTTACTATAATATAATTCGTGTTGTTTTATAATAATCAGAAGATCTAAAACTTACCTTACATGTCATCTAAGTGAACTACTCTTAACCTATAGATATCATTATCTAAACCTCTACTCCGGTAAGCTAACATTATGTTTGATGAAATTTACTTTTACTTTTTACTTTTTAGATTTTACATGCTGTTGTATTTAATCTGTCTTACAGTTAAATAATAATTATATTTTATTAATTATTAGTATGACCATGAAATTACGGATTTACATAAAAGCAGCCTAAACAAACCTGCAATCGACATGAAATCGACCTGAAATCGACTTAAAATCACCCTGAAATCGATCTGAAAACACCCTGAAATCGATTTAATACGGACCTGATATGAACCAGAACTCAATCTGTAATCACCCAGAAATCGATCAGAAATCGATCTACTTACAATCACAGCTCATCTTGTCCTCTGCCAGGGTGAACCCCGTGCGACACTGACACATGTAGCTGCCAGGTGTGTTGATGCAGGTGTGTTGGCACCTGTGTCGTCCAACACACTCGTTGATTTCTGTAAGGTCACACGAGGTCACACGTCAGCCACGTCATAAAACAGATAATCATCGAAATATCGAACTAAAATTTCTCATTTGTTACAATATAAACATAAACATAAACTAACTGCATGCATTTTGAAGTTTCATTACATGGGCGTCCATAAATGACATCACTTACTTTTAACCGCACAATCTCCCCAAGTTTTCCCTACCACCTATTTATTCCATATCATCAATCCACAATCATCCCTATATCACCAATCCACAATCTCCCCAAGTTTTCCCTACCACCTATTTATTCCATATCATCAATCCACAATCATCCCTATATCACCAATCCATAATCTCCCCAAGTTTTCCCTACCACCTATTTATTCCATATCATCAATCCACAATCATCCCTATATCACCAATCCACAATCTCACCAATCCCTGATTGCCCCCTATCACCAATCCCTAATATCCCCAATCCCTATTCTCCTCACTTAATAAATCAAGCCCCACCCTTCCAAAATGACAGCACACAAGTTTCCCACCCCCAGCCTACTTAACAGAAAATAATTCTAACAACAAAATAACATAGTTCATGTATCTTTTTTTAAGTCAAAAAATAAAATTGGAATATTACATCTAATCTCCTAAACCAGTACTCCTAATTCACTTCCCCTAAAGTCATACGTCTAACTATCCCTCCCCCTCCCCCATCCCAATACTCACTTCACCAGTGACACCAGGCATAGACCTTCGATAACGACGATAATAAAGATTTGTGATCAGGGGTTTACACTTATTCTCCCATACCGCTCCAGCTATCACCCCACACCCCAGCTATCACCTCGACCCCCCCCCCCCCCCCCACCCCCACCGTGACAGATGCTACACACCAACTTACCTATCTGACACCTGTAGCCCGTGTAGCCCTCGACCTCCCCCCCCCCGCCGTGACAGGTGCTACACACCAACTCACCTATCTGACACCTGTAGCCCGTGTAGCCCTCCCCCACACATACACACATACAGTGACAGATGCTACACACCAACTCACCTATCTGACACCTGTAGCCCGTGTAGCCCTCGAGACAGTGGCAGACACCTGGCTGTACACACTTGCCGCCGTTCTCACACGTTTCCTCACACAGAGCTGTTCACGGGAGGGGACAAGAGAACTGCATGTTATGTGTTAGAATACATCGAGAATACTTTCTAATACACTTCGCACCTCATTATATTATCTATGTAAAATTATACGTTATGCTAACATTTTGCATCCACACACACACACTATATATATATATATATATATATATATATATATATATATATATATATATATATATATATATATATATGTTTATGTACAATTATATGTAAACATATGTATTTATATGTATATATATACATTGGTTTTTCTAAATATTACTTTTATATACACGTAGTTTACGTTGGATCGTTAAAGTATGAATTACATACAAGCAAGAATCTGACAAAAACACCAACACTGAAATAACACCAGACAGCGACCACACAACAACAACAAGCACCTCTCCTCTAACCCCAACCATACGATGTACTCACGCTGCGTGCAGCTAAGGTCACGTGGCGTCCTCTTGCCCCACCCCGGGCAGCACCCCGCTGAGACCTGGGCGTGTATCTGCATGCGTATGACAGTCCTGTAGGCCGTCTGGTAGGTCATCCTGTGTCAGAGGTCAGACATTGAGACCCGGATGTAACGAAACACTAACTAACTACACTCACTTAATGCTAATTATTTATGAATATCTTATCTCATTCACATGAGTGTATATTTATTATTTTATCCTTTTTTTTCTTTATACAATAATCTTGCTTGTATGTTTGTGCTTAGTTTATTAGAAATCTCTGCTTGTAATTACAACTTGTATTTCAATATTTCAATGTTATTATTATGTCTAGATCTTTGCGAATCTTGACTACTAGAAAAGCTAACTACTACAATGAATCTTAAAAAGAGAATGGTGCTAAAGTTATTTACTACTGCTGCAATGATGGATAACTTATCCTACAACATTACGCTGAAAATAACTATAAAAGTACTGTTATAAAAAAAAAAAATAATTAAATGCATTTAATTCATCCTTTGTTTTAAACGACCAAAACAATTTCGATTACCTCCCTTTTTCTATTAATAAAAAAGCATTGTAATATTTTAAATAATTTCTGACTTTATCACCCGAAGTTTAAATCACTATTATAAATGTAAATATATAAATACAACGTAATTTTTTTTTTTTTTGTTTTTTTTGTTTTTTTTTCTATTACCTATTACAAATTTTGACTGCTAATATACGTGACTATTTATTTAACAATTTCAAGGGGAGTAATTACTAAATTACGAGCGGAAGAGGCTATTTTCCGGTTATCGTTCCTACTAATGGTCGCCCCTGAAATTGCTCGGGTCACTAAAACAGACAAGTGAGACAAGGGAGATAATTTACTTGTTCAGCTCCGAGTTGTAGGTCGCCTTGGTGTAGCTCTGCCGTACTGAGACTGGGGTGGTCACGTGGGTGTGGTTGGTGCACACGTGACGCCTGTGAGGGGGGGGGAGATGAGAAATAAAGGTCAGTAGATAACAAAAGTAAAATCTTGTTTAAAAATCTGCTTTTGTATGTCATGCAAGAAGGGTGGGGGTAGGGAGGAGGGGGGGTGGATACAAGATCCCTCCTAAATATCCTCATACATGGTATCATAGTCTGATAGACCTTAGGGTGATTGTGCATTGGAAATCCAGGCACAAAGCCAAGGGCCCTAAGTTGAGAAGAGCCAGATGTTCCCCTTGCATCAGCCCCCCCCCCCACACACACACACACTCTCTACACAGCGGATGGATAACAGGGACATATATCCTCAAAAAAACCTGCATTAACAATATTAACAATTGAGCAATGCATTTTAAAATCGTAATAATTTCGATTGAGCAAAAATTCTTGTTACATTTTGATAACCCTTCATTTTCTCTAGAATTTTTTTCCCGAAGATCATGGGGCATTTAAGCAATACCCCGTGACTCAACAAGCTGCCCCCCCCCCCCCCCCGAACAAAATGAAATTTATATATATATAGAAAGTACATACTTCTAACAGTGCCCGCCCCCCCCCCCCCAAGGAAGTCTACCGCCCCCCCCACCCCCCACCCCTGGAGAGAAAAGTCTGGAAGATACACTGTATGTGATATCAATATTTGATGGCTAGATGAACACTTTGACACAACAGGGTTATACATTGTAACTTTCAACCCAAGACAGACATCACACATATTTCTAATTAAGACACAACACCCTATTTTTCTCGAGAATTGTGTCGTTTTTAGGGCAGTTAAGTCATATACATTTTTTCAGGACCATGATGAATCGTGGCTCAGCGGTAGATCGCTAGACTACAAACCCGAAAGTCGAGTTCAAATCTGGGTTCAAGTCAGTGGACCGTCCCTAAGTCTACCCAGCTCTTATGGGTAGGTACTAAACACACGTTGTGGAAAGTAAAAGCGGCTGAGCATAGTGCTGACCACACTATCCCGAGGTCAAGAAACGTATGAACTCTTTATCTGCCCAGTTGATCGCTAGGTCTAAAGAGGAATCTTTACTTTTATGTTGCATCGTAGTTGTAAGCGGCGAAGGGTGGGGTGGTGGTGGGTCGACATGTGATATATGATAGCCACTTTTTAGGTGGGAGTGTAAAGTGGTGAACTTTTTGTCGATAGGTCATGTGTACAACCCATCATTAGAAAAATCTTTTTATAATCCAATATCGATCAATCAAATATAACGAAAAACTTGGATTAGATATAGATAAGAGGAAGTTAGGATTAAATACTAGAACAATATTGAAATTAACTTGCTTTCGTGTCTGTTTTTCCAATCAAATCTTGCGATCGAAATTTCGGGCACTTCTCAGTTAGCTAGCGCGCTGAAATTTTCAGGGAAGCTTTGTTTCCGATGACAATAAAATATTCAATTATTATTATTACTAAATTGATCCATGGAAAAATTTTATTGATCATTTTAGACCCCTATATATTTGTACAAAAAAGGGACATAACCTAGTAATTGTAATTTGATGAAAACAAGGTTCGGTACTTTCCCTCTTGTGGCTTAATGAAGGAGCGAGCACGCGATTGGCTGAGTAGTGGTCACGCGGTGTTTGTGTACAAACCTATGCAAATCTGAAAGAAGAAACGTCGATTGGAAAAGGCACGTGTTTTTTACGAGTTGTCTTCGTTTACCAAAAAAAAAAGGTGAATGCGAGAAGATAAAATCGATAGCAAGATTTGAATGCAAACAAACAGACAAAGACTAAAAAATAGAAAATAATTATCATTAAAAAAGTTTTTAAAAACCCAAGTTTTCTGATTGAACTAAAAAGTAGAAAATAAATGCTATACATCACAATAATGCAAGCGATCACTCTACTATAAGCGATGAAAAACGTGGGGCGCCGTGATTTTCTTACAGTTTCTAATACTGTTGACTCTCTACAAGCTCCCTAATAAAAGTCAATAGTATTATCTAATCAATAGTAATATAACTTTTACATCTTATATTAACAATGACCGATAAAAAACTTTTACTTCGGCGCCCCACGTTTTTCATCGCTTATGGCAGAGCAGGGGTCTCCAAACTTTTCAGTCACAGGGCCGCATTAACTATCGAATTTCAGTTCGGGGGCCAGTTTCTTCCGGAAATGTCTTTGATTTTTTTGGGCAAAGTTCCTCCGCCATCACCAACAAGCGGGTTTTCAGTGGACAAGGGGGTCTCTGCGGGCCGGATGAGAGGACATCGCGGGCCGGCATCATCGCGGGCGCATCCGGCCCGCGGGACGTAGTTTGGAGACCCCTGTAGCAGAGTGATCGCTTGCATTATAGTGATGTATAGCATTTATTTTCTACTTTTTAGTTCAATAAGAAAACGTGTTTAAAAACTTTTATAACAACAATTATCTTACCATTTGTAATACATGTCAACTTCATATTTTAAATTTATTATTTTAAAAAATCTGGTTAAGCCCAGTTTATCTCTCCCGCAATATACCATCACTGAAAGTCAAAACAGAGTTGTAGTTAGATACTTAACATATGACCTTATCAAACTACTTTCTGTCTGTAATTCATTCTTTAAGTGTAAGGGGGCAGAGGTCACATAGCAGTGAGATCACAGTGAGCAGAGTTGCCGGTGTTTGTCTCGGGGTTATTTCCCCTTATCACGGGGAGGTAATTAGGCCGGGTGAAAATATGGCGGGAAGGGGTTGGGTGTAAACAGAGGGTGCCAGGCAGTCAGGGAATGTCGGGGAATGGTGTCTGTAGGGCGGGGCTTGTCGTTGATAGCATTTTGGTGGGGTGTGGGGGAGGGGTGTGAAGGGTGGGGGTGGGGTGAGTGGTGGGGTGGGGTGGGGTGGGGGTGTGACAATGTGTGGGGACATGTGCCTGCAAGCTTAGATTGTTGTAAAGAGAATAATGAGTGGGGGATGTGGGGGGGGGGGGGAACATATTGTGTGGGTGAGTATGTGGGGGTGTGGGTGAGTGGGGGTACACGGGTGGGGGGTATAAGGGTAGTGGTTTATAGTGGGGGTATATAGGGTGGAGGCATGTGTGGGGGTATAAGGGTGGATGGGTACAGTGGCGTAGCCAGGATCGTCTCAAGGGGGGGGGGGGGGTGGGTGGGTTCCAATTTTTACCCGGGGACAAACTTTCGATGTGCACCCCCCCCCCCTTTAAAACTTTCGATTTGCACCCCCCTCATACTTTATATATATATATATATATATATATATATATATATATATATATATATATATATATATATATATATATATATATATATATATATATATACCGAGAGGTCTATGGGGGGGCGGGGTTATGACCCCCCTAACCCTCCCCCTGCCTACGCCACTGGATGGGTATGACAGAATACACCATAGCATGTCAGTAAATGAAGTAAATATGTGCAATGATTGAGCAGCTGGCAGCAATACGGCATGGATATGTGTGTGTATGTGTGTGACTTGTACATTTCTCTGCGGAAAATATGAAGTGTGGTGTGTGTGTGTTTGTTTGTATATGTGTGGTTTAATCTGGTTTATGCTGCATGGTTTATGTCTAATCTGAAAGTTGTGTATTGTGTGAGGTGTGAAAAGGGGGGGGGGGGTGATTTCACGTGACATTTAATACCACATTTAATACCTTATCCATGTGGTGTGGTTGAATTGTGGATGCTGTGAACTCACCTGATGTGTAGTGAGACGATTTGCATTAGGATAACGTTTATTTAAATTGAGACCGGGGGTCGTCCATTAATAACGTCACACTCGTAGGGGGGAGGGGTCCGTAATTGTGTGGCGGTGTGTGATGAGGGGGAGGGGGGGGGGGGGTTCAGATGGTTCGACGTCACACTTTTGTATTATAAAAAAGCAATGTTAGAAAACGAATTTTAGACGTTATTTCGCGTTTTAGAAAACTGTTTTAATAAATTGCAATAGGAATTTATTAAAATACTCTATTTTGACACAGTTCAGACAAGATTTTGGAAAAAAATATAGATGTCTAAAAAAAAATTCAATTGCAATTTTGAGGGGGGGGGGGGTGTAGAGTGAGGTGTGACGCCATTTTGGGGGGGGGGGGTCTGGCTTTTTGTGACGATGTGTGACGGAGGGGAGGGGGAGGTAAAAATCGTCAAAAAAGCGTGACGTCATTTATGGATGACCCCTCGTATAAAAACAATGTTCTCCACATTTTCATTGGAAAAAATTAATTCATATATCCGATATATTTTTCTCCCTTTTTTTCTAGGCCATAAAACATAATCTAGAGTCTATCATTGGGAATGTGAGATATAAATAAACGCTGTCAAAATGGTTATGGTAAACATCACGGTATCCCAGTGTAGGTAAAATGCTCAGGTAAGTGTTGCATGAGTGATAGCAGGGGGTAGCTCGGGTCACAGGTAAGCTGTAATCAGGTGAAACTTCAAACCCCTGCGGTTGTAAAGAATGGGATGTATACAGCAGATCTTTACACCGGAATCCACTTTTAGATTTGTAATATAAATTATTTATGTTGTAGAGTTTTATGCTTCGTTTCTCGGCGTATAACGGGACGTTACAAGGGAGTATTTTATGTTTATTTTACGACATGGTGTTAGGTGTGGTGCGAAATGCGTGGTGCGAAAATTGATGATGTGCTTCAAGAAATAGATAAAATAAATGTTTGATAAACTATTATAGTAAAAAACAGAAATATTATATGGTTATAAATTATATTATATAGTTATATATTAACGTTAACAGATGTGCGTCTGTTAAGTTTCCAGTTTTTGTATGCTTGCTTTGTTAGGTTTCGCAGAAATAAATTGCATTTAACTTCAAGAATATCTGCTGTCGTTTTTTTAGCGTTTTCTAAAGATTTACGGGTACTTTAAAAAAGAAAAAAATCAGTGTGCACATACGATGATAATTTCATGATCAAATCCAAGTTGTACCGTTAGAATCCAATTGTATATTACCATATATTACAAATACGTACATTACTACCTCTTACA